GAAACTAAGTGAATCCAAATAACTTAGTGAATATTTGGATTTCATGTACTAATTTTCTGCTTTTAAAATGTCCATATTGAAATTATCCAAAGCTGAAAAGAGGACAACTGCATGAGCTAAGAAGAGTTATCTGCCTATCTACCAACATGCGCATGCGACTTTATATATGGAAAATCTATTACTAAAAGTATATCGTCAGTTTTATCATCTCTATCATTCTACTATTATACATTGCTAGTTGGGACATTAAAGAAGTTTGATTAATCATATTCCTCAGTTTTCTTTCTTTCTTTTTTTGTTGTTGAGGGGAGACAGAGCCTTGCTCTGTCACCTAGGCTGGAGTACAGTGGCACAGTCACAGCTCACTGCGGCCTGGAACTCCCAGGCTCAAATGATGCTCTTGCCTCAGCCTTCTGAGGAGCTGGAACTACAGGCCCCTCTCACCACACTCAGTTAGGTTTGTTTGTTTGTTTGTTTGTTTGTTTTGTTTTGTTTTAGTTATTTGTAGAGAATGGTTCTCCATGTGTTCCGCAAGCTGGACTCAAACTCCTGGGCTCAAGTGATCCTCCCACCTCGTCTTCCCAAAGTGCTGGGATTACATGCATGAGCCATCATGCCCAGCTATAGTCTTCCGTTTTCACCAGGCTAAAGGTTATGTTGTTTCAAAAGACAAAATAATCTATAAATAGGAAACAAAATAATTTGTCTGATACTAAACAAAGTTCCCCTATACAGAGATGAGACCCTCTGTCCCTAACTCCCTATATTTAGGGAAGGAAAGAAGGGATTGTAAACTTTGAGTAGATACCAAGATCATGCACGTGAGAAAAATATTATATCACTGAATCCTGTATGCTGGATGATGCTGCCTCCTCTTGGAGACTTCTTCCCATGCCAAACCATGTATTCTGCTTTTCTTCTCCTACATCATGGCAGTCTCTGAGATATTTTCCTGAGAACTCACCTCACTTAATTTGTCCAATCTTATCATTGTATCTGTCGTGTTCAGATTTGGCTTTTTGTTAGCTCTGGCTACCACTGATTTGCTTGACAGATGAGAATGTACTGATTATCTGCACATTCTTTATGAAGGCAACAGATGAAGAAGATTTATATCTATGATTGATTATTGGCAATGGTCATTTGGTGCTGGCAGCCAATTGAGCTATAGATTTTTGTATTTCCCTCTTGTAATGTGTGTGTATCAGTGTAACATGTATACACAACATTTGCACTAACATAATCTATGATAAATATCTCCTTCCAGTTTTCAGGAAATATTTTTGAGAGTGGGACATGGATATAATAGGATGAGTTAATCGTGCTCAGTAGTTCTCAGCACAGTCTTCATTAGACGGTGCAGTCTTCCTCCCCTGCTCGACTGATTTCCTTTTCTAATCCTTTTTCACACACATCCTCTAATCCTCTCATGAACAATGATTCCAAAATGTTGGTGTATATATTTTTCTTGTTATGTATAAATACTAAACTTTTTGTTTGTGTACATGCCTTTTTATTTACATAAGTTGTATTATACAATAGATTTCACCTGATTTTTAAGAATTTTCTTGCACTATGGTTTTAAGATCTATTCATATTATGATGTGAACCTCTGTTACATTTTTCCCGGTAAACTTTTTAATGATAACCATCTAAGTATTTATTAATCCTATTGACCATCAAAATATCTTATGGAAATTTTTGCTTATTGCTTTCATTTTCTAGTAAGACATATATACCAGAGGCCCATCCCAGAAAACTCTCATTTGGAGATCTAGAGTACCAGCAAGATCTAAGCCTTTGTAATACTGGGGTTCAATCAAGATTAAGAACCAAAAGTAGGTTCCAGCTCTACACAATTCCTTATATTTCAACTCATACCCTTTATGTTATAAATCCCAACAATTCAATTACACCTGCTTTCTTGAAGAGTATCAGTGTCTAGTTAATGCTAATGTTTTAAAATAATAGGTTCACCAAAACCCTCTGTAGGATCTGATATTAATTTGTGACTCCTCCCACTTAAAAGGTTACCTTAGTTTGCCTCTTTGCTTTCTCCAGTGCCTGTGACATAGACTTGGACACAAGCAGTGATTTTTGTTGCCGTTTTTTGTTTTTAAAATTTTATCTCAGGTTGGCTGGGCACAGTGGCTCACGCCTGTAATCCCAGCGTTTTGGGAGGCCAAGGTGGGCAGATCACTTGATGTCAGTAGTTTGAGGCCAGCCTGGACAACATGGTGAAACTGTCTCTACTAAACATATGAAAATTAGCCAGGAGTGGTGGTGGGTACATGTAATCACAGCTACTCAGGAAGCTGAGGCAGTTACTTGGGAGTGGAGGTTACAGTGAGCCAAGATGACGTCACTGCACTCCAGCCTGGGCAACAGAGCGAGACTCTGTCACAAAAACAAAAAACAAAAACAACACTAAAGAAATAGAGTGAAGAAACAGAAAGTGATCAATGGAAGGAAGAAAGCAAGTAAAGTTTACATTATTGAAGTATTTACCATCATGGACAACTGTGACTCAATCCTGTTGTTGACCTATGGAACTATGTAAAGCATTCCACAAAAATGTTCTACCAAATGATCAGATGTGGGCATTTATTCAATATGTTCTGCAGCTCTTTGGTTGAGGATTACCCCCTACTCCCACCGCAGGTGTTAAATGAGCTCCCCTTCTCCTGCTGTCAGGCTGTGCCTATGTTATTAGATGAGCAATTGCTTGACATTGGAAAAAGCCTAAAAGCTGCCACAGGGTTCCTTGAGATGGGATGCTGGAAGTTTGCAAAGTGCTGTCCCCAATGGCTTTGCTGAAACTAGGGGGGCCAAGGGAATGTATTCTGGATATCAAGTAGTGTCTGCTTCCAATGACTTTCTCTTACTATCCTATTCTTTGTTTTTTTCCTTCCTGCGTGGAAATAAAAGTATGTTTGCATACTGTGTAAAAATCTAACAATAGGTAAGACAAAATCCTTTCCCATTCATAACCCCTTGATTTAATGGGAAAGACTGATCATTCAATCCAAAATGGTAGTGGAGAAGATATGCAGATGGAACAATTGAGACTTTTTTTGCCAAGTCACCTTGGGAAAGTCAGAGAATGCTAAGTGGGAAGAGCTAATCCCTGAGATTCATCTTTTTTTTTTAACAGATAAAATTAATTTTAATATTAAACACAATATGTTCAAAATATCATGATTTCTTGTAAGCAATATAAATAATTAGTATAATATTTTACATTCTTTTTTCATGGCAAGGGCTTTGAAACCCTGCAGATAGTTAATATTCATAGCACATGGCAATTGGAATAGCCACATTTCAATTGCTCAAAAGTCACATGTGCTCCGTGGCTAGTTCTGGTGTGATTCCCCGAGTGCCACACTCTTCATGATTCCCAGTCATTCTAGAGATGCCTGCTTCAGGAATCTGAGCCAGTAAGGACAAAGGGACTCTGGAGGATCACTAGGAACAAAGTGTGTGGGCCAATGAGGCAGGAGCAGCAAGCAAGGGCATGTCAGCCTGACCCCAGTCAAGGAAACACCTCCAAGTCAGCACAGAAGCTCATCTGCTCCGTCAGAAGCTCTCCTGTCTAAATGAGATTCATCTTAAGAGATTCATCTTAAATAATGTTTACAAGAAAGTCCATGACAGAAGACAACCTGTCTCATAATCATGCACTCCGATTATTTTTCTTCCATCTGCTTGCAGAAATAAATTATTCTGTTCTTGGCCTTCTCTCTTTACACATATTCTCATTGTCATTATGTATAATTTACCTTCTTTATTTGCCTGATTATTTGATTAATGTTTGGCTCCACAACTGACCAGAGGCCATTAGAACAGATATATCTGTTTCCATTTATCTTCCTTGAATCCCAAGCCCTAACACAGTGCCTGACATACAGATAAATAAACAGATGAAATGATAGAATCCCAAGACTGAGATTTAAGAGTCCAATGCTTTAGCAATCCCTTTACTATGAACTTAATGTATGACTTTAGGAAGGTAATTTTTCTTTCACGGGCCTCAGTTTTCACAGTTGGTTATTTTATTTAGAGTCCTAAAGTGGATCTCCTATTGAGTCTTTTATGACTCTAAATACCATGAAGGTAACTTTGGCATTTTTGTTTTTAAATAAGTCTATAATGGCCATTCTTTGTCGAGGCATTTGCCTTGGAAATGAATCAACCATCTTTACATACCATAGCATTTACTTCCACAGACTGTAGCTCACATCTACACAGTTCCGAAACCTTACCCATTTTACACTCCACATATACTGCACTTCTATATAGTCTTATTCTAGAAAGAGAAGTGTTTATTATTTGAATATCAAACAACATAGAAACAAGGGTGCTTCCATTTGAAAAATCTTCTTGGTCCTATGGTCTCAAATATTCACCAAGTAGATCTGTAACCAGGGAATATTTAAAGCCAGTATATATTTTGTTCTCTATTTTTAAAAAGAGTGTTTTTTTTTTTTCCCAAATGAAGCATGTGGAATTGCTATGTTAATATGAATCAGGTAATGCCAGAGTTGAGATGTAGTGTCTGGTCAGCCCCCATTATCTGGAAGATCCATCAAGTCTCAGATGTTTCACTAGGTCACCAAAATCTTTGGAGAGTAGGGGCAAAAATAGATCTGGTAAATTCACTGTGAAACATGGTTCCATGGACAATCATAACACGTTTCTAAAAGCAGAATGAATCCTCATTGGTAGAAAGTCACAAGATGATGGCCCAAATAGTCTTATTTCATGCATCCAAGCCTCTTGTTACCCTCTTGTGTACCCAGTTACAAAGTCAGGAGAGAGGTCACACATTCATAATGAACATGCATCCTCATATATAGAAGGGAACACATGACCCTACTGGATATGCATCTGCAACTGCACAGAATACACTCTGAGAAAGACTATCTAGTGAGCTAAACATTCCCTTCAAACTTTCTGAGTTGTCAGCAGAACACAACGTCCCATGCTGAAAATTATGCCAGCCTTTCCCCCCAGAAATCACTCCATAAAAATTTAACTCTGCACCATTTCAAATTCATCTGAGAAAAAGAGAGATAAAATATCCTTAAATCAAAGAGATTTATGTATTCCAATAAAGCTGCAAGATTTTGTTTTGATAGCAATAATGCAAAAGCCCACAAATTAAATGCTCTTGAGGAATGATTATGGCTACAGGAGTTATTTTGTTTTTATCAGGATTGAATCGCTGTGTAACTTGTCTGTTACAGTTGTACAGATTGCAGTTGTATTGAGAAGTGGCTTATGAGAAATGGTGTTGAATGAGAAGGAAAGTATAATTTACTTTTAATTTGATTTCATTTGGTAAACCTGACTTTACAGCTTGCGCTGTACTTCTGTATTATTCACCAGCCATGATACAAAGTAACCTGCAACCAGGGACATCAGTTATGACCCCCCGCCTGCCCACCCAATGAAGATTGCTGTCATCAGAAGGAATGCCATGCTCTCTGCCCGTGTGTCAGTGATGAGTAAATTTAAAATTGCCTATGACCTCAAAGGGAGTTTCTGCTTCTTCTCACTCCCTGTTGCCAGAGGGTCCTTCACTTTACTTGGTATTCACTAAAGAGCCACAGAGGCAGAATAGACTGATCAAGCAATCTGGAGGCCAGTCAAGATAAATTAGATGCTTAATTTATATGCCAGGCTTTGAGAAAGACTAATTACACAAAGACAGTTTGATAAAGTAATATAAGACTCTGCATATATTAACCAGAGCCTGCTTCCGTGAAATTATTGCTGATATATGTGCTATGGGCTTTGAGATTTTGTGTGCACAATTGTGCAGCGGGCACTATGAAACACGTTCTATGAGGGTATTAAAACTGGGTGCTATCTGCCAATCTTTTCTAATTTTATGCTGCCACTAAGGGACTATTCTTCCTTTGCTTTGTGACTTTATAGCACTCATTGAGATGAATATGAAACAGTTAAACAGGAAATCTGAAGATATCATGGCCAAGAAACACACTGAAAATGAAGCACAGACAATTTTCGTGGACCCAGTCACTAAAATATTGGTGAAAACAGGCCTTTTGAAGAATCATGCTGAATCAAAAGCTCTTGTCTTATTTCTTGAGAATTTAGTCTGTATGAGTGACCAGAGACACAGAATACAAGATAGAAGCTGAAACACACTGATGGAACAAGAGAAGACTTTGGCTGCAAATGTTACATTGCAAGATCACAGGATCAAGGACAGACTTTATATTCCAGAACTTTGTGTTTGTAGACAGTGGCTAACGGGGGCAGCCAAGAGCTCATGTTCTTGGGATAGCTTTAAACACTATAATTGAAATGTAAGCTTCACCTAATTGCATAAGAGAGCCTAAGAATTGACTGCATTTAGTATAAATACTGATGGAAAGACAAGGACATTTTAAAGTGAAGGGTGTAAGAATTGAGATAATTGGGAGAAGAAAAGAGAGGTTAGGTAACTGAATGAGAACTTTGAGGATATTCGTAGAGTCAGAAGAGAAACAGCTCTCACTATTACAGGAAGGTAAAATTTTTGGAAGTTCCCAGATATGAGAAGATAGCATCAGAATCACACACACACATGCACACACACACACAGACACACACACTCACAAGAAAAGTCTTCATTTATTCCCAGAGAAGAATATTTAAAGCAAATATACATATAAAGCAAACAAAAAAAAATGTATCCAAAAAGTAATTGCAGCAACGTACTAGAAAACAGAATTTCTAGATAGGACAAGCACTGCCTATAGCAAAGTCAGACCTGAATAAATTTCCTGATTGTTCTACATGTTACATTTCCAGCACAGTGGCTGCTCCCAGGTGAATGATGGTGCAGAGGTCATGGATATCTGGGCCATTATATACATTCTTTCCTTTTTGTAGTTAGTTTTTAAGAGATACTTTCATCCCTACCTGAACTTTGGTTCAGAAACCTCATAGGGTCAGAACGTTGTTTGCTGACTTTGAGTTAAGGGCTACCTTGGGGCTTCATAGAAGTTTTGACATGAAAAGGCCTCAATACAGCTTCTCTAGAATTTCCCAAGAAAGTTTCAATTAATGATTTATAATTTCTCAAGGAGATGTGTTAAGTTCCTGGACATCTAAAATCAGCTTCGAAAAAATTCCTGTTCAACCCATGATTTAGCCTTTCTGGAATGTTGCGGTACCTAATATCTCTTCTTTGATCTATAGAATGATCATGAAATAATTATGGCTACAGACAAGTGCCTTTATGTTCCTAAACTCCATGATAACTTGGTTTGCCAACAGGGTTTCCTCGGCAACATGCGTTAGTTATGTGTTACACTCTCTAATTCCTCCTCTGACTCAAGTCATATCAGCATGAACTTGCTTTAACAACAATAACAACAGCAACAACAACAACAACACAATCCTATATTTAAAGTCTTTTCTGAGTCATAAACTGCTGATTACAAGTGCATGCTGGGAGGCAACATAGCATCCTCCCTAAATATAAAAGGCCTGTAAGTTCTGAAGGTAGACTTCCTTAGTTCTTTATTTTGTCACAATGTAATCTTAGACAATGTAATCTTTAAAAATGTTATTTTTAAAGCTTCAGATTATAGTTTTTTGTTAGTTTTCTTAGTAATATAGCAATAATAATGATAGTGCCACTGGATTGCAAAGGGAATTAAATAGGATAATGTGTGCAAGAAGCTTAGCGGCACGCTTGGCACACAATTAGTATTTAGCAAAATTTCAGCTGCTACAGACTTCTCACCAGACTAGAACACATTTTTTTTCCCCAGAAACACATATGGATAATATTTCAAATGAAATAGAGAGTGGATTCTTTGCAATCTCAAAAGTACAGTGCTCTCAGTTACACACACAAAAAATTCTACTTGTTTAACAGATACACAGATGAAGATGACATCTATGGAATCTTTTTCTTGCAATTGATGCATTCTTTAGTCCAGTAATATCACCCCATTTTGTATCCAAGACACTGTCTCTGTTCATGTAGAAAACAGGTAAGTCCCCTAAACTTCTTGGTTCTTTTCCATCTGTGTAAAAAAGTGGTGGGAATGTTTCTATGCCAATGCTACTGTTTTATGGCTTTCAATTACCAGACTTATAAAAACCTCAGTTTTATCTAAAAAGTTAACTTTAATATAATGTTTCATCAGTTACTAAAATATCTTCCTTCTTGGTGTATTTCCAAGTTTAATTTCTAGCCTAATGACATAGAAATGACTACTTCCTCTGGCATAAGAAAGTAATCAGTAAATTAAATATTCTTATGTCTGTATTTCAAACTTAAAATTGCTTGTTGGAAGAATTCAAAGAAGTATTCTATTATAATCTTGACCAAATGTATTAATGTATTCAAAACTCATTTGAATGTCTATTATGTGCTAGATACATGCTAACTTCTAAAGAAAAAATATATGTTTATATATATGCTTTATGATTTTGAGTGACATTATCTATTTTAACATTTATAATAATCTGATAAGAAAGGTGAATGATCTCCCATTTTAAGATAAAGAGTTTGATTGCAGAACACAGCAAGTGACCTTTATATCATTCTGTAATTAACTGACAGCATGTGGACACAATCTATTAAAATTGTATGTCATTTCCAATCAAACTGCACTCATTCTGAAGTTTTGTATTTGTTTTACCAAAGTCAGGAGACATCCAGTTCAATACATATCTTTATCAAAACTTTAACCTTATGATAAATAAAATCTCCTTTCTTAGCCTGAGTCAGTTTTAGGATATACTGTATTTCTGAATGATGAACTAACACAGTGAAAAGTAATGCATTATGCAGAGTTGGAGGGCCTGGAAAAATCAGCTGCTGTTGTTTTAGCTAATATATAACGATTTCAGGTTTTCTGACTAATGAAGCAGAGAATGGCATGTTTCTCTCTAAATGGTACAATTTCAGCTCTCAGCCTGGAACTTTATCAGAAATGCAGATTTGGAAAAAGAGAGTGGTCTATGCATCTGCTCAATAGAATGGGCTATGTGAATGCTTGTGAATTCTTTATTTTGGTAAACCTGATGATTTGAAAGTAGAGAGAATGATTAAGTTCCCATGGTTAGTAAATAAGGGGTTTGCGACTCAAATCCATTTCTCTCTGGCTTCTAAACCACAGCTCCTGCCCCTGTCTAATGGGAATCATCTTTTAATTACGGGGATTGAGGAGCTCATTCTTCTCTGTAGCCTCAGTGCCAAGCATATTATGGGTGCTCAGTAAACAGGTGTTGAATTGTCTGTGTGGATGAACTTTTCATCGTAGCACCAAATACCTACCTAAGCACTTCATTTCATGGGACTGAGGGTTAAAACTGGACCAGCCATGGACAGTTACATTGTCATGTTATTTAAATTACTTTTGAAGGCTATTTATAACAACCTCATACAGAAAGTGATTGTTTCATGCTTAACACCTTCTCAGTGAACTCACAGCATCTGAAGTGGTCTATTCCATTTTCACAGGTGCACCTGGACCCACATGCACACAAGCATGGCAAAAGGATGCTGTTATCATCGCTTTTTTTTTAATATGTTTACTTGTGGTTAGCTTATTATAAGCTAAAACCTGGTCCCCAAAATTTCCATCATGTTTTCTGTCCTTTATTGGGGGACAAGCATGTAGTTTAATTGAACATATATATAATCTCACTATTTACATTACAGTGTTTTCCAGCTTTTGCCAATTAAATACAAGGCCACCAAGGTTATGTTTCTTCTAAAAATACTTTTCTTCGACCATCATAAGCGCAACTAATTCCATGACCAAGGACACTTTCGTACAATATCACCATGAAATTTCAATGTCAGCGAAAAAAATAAAAACATATGTAGAAAAGAGCATTATCTTAAAGGCAAGTTAAATATTGAGACAATGCATTCCTTGATGTGTTTAATAATTGCAAAAAACAATTTGATGAACATTTAAAGTTCAAACTGCCTAGATTTTTTTCCCAGTGAAAAGACTATTGCAATTTATTTTC